CTGCTACTGCTGCTGCTGCTGCTGCTGCTGCTACTGCTGCTAATACTGCTACTACTACTACTACTACTACTGCTACTACTACTACTACTAACTCATTGGGAATCATTGATGTATTAATTTTCTGAATATACAATGAATATACAATCAAAATGAAAACAAAAAGACAACACAACCACAAAACAAACACTGAAAACAAGACAATGGGTGTTGGTGTTGTAGTTGTGTTTTTTTGTTGTGTTAGTTTTGTGTTATTGGTGTTTTATGTGTGTTGTAGTTTTGTCTTTCCTTGGAATAAGCAAAAATACAACAAAATAAAGCAAATAAAATACAACCCAGAAACGAGCGCAGCATGGAAGACAGTGTGTGTGGTGTTGTTTGTTTTACTTTTCTTTGGAAAAACAAAAATTAAACAACAAGAGCACAAATACAATACAACCAAACCGCGAGCCCGCTCTGTTTTTTGTTTATTATTGTTGTTTGCAATCGTGGTTGGTTGCTTTGTATTTTTTATTATTATTCTATTTGAACTGTTTTTCGTGTTGTTTTTATTTCAGTTTTCTAGGTTTTATCTATGTAATTCGGGCCAGATTCCCAATAAGTTGTAGGTATTTGCTTCACAATTCTACTGCTACTGCTTTTGCTGCTGCTGCTGCTGCTGCTACTACTACTACTACTACTACTATACTGGTACTGGTACTGGTATCGGCACAGATACTGGTACTAGAACTATGAATACGGCGGCTACGACTACCGGCCACGGCCACCACGGCGACAGTAGCGACGTTAACCAGCACGGCGACGACGACGACGACTATTACCACGACTTATTAACACTCTGCTGCTGCTTGTAAGGCGAGGCTTAAAAGTTCCTTTTATGTATCGTGAAAATTTGAGGAGTCTTCTGACTAGCAGAAGCTGTTGATTTCTGGTTTCTCTTCCATCACTCTGTCTGTGTGCATGTTTTGTGTTGTTGTTGCTGTTGTCCACAGCATTGCTTCTTTACTTGCGTTTGTCGGTGTGTGAGATGCTGTTTCGTCGTGGACCTAGTCCGGCCTGCAGCAGCTCGGACATACTCGGCGGCAACTTCGGTGTAGTTCCTATCTGTCAAGCGAGCCTGCCTCGGTGGGGGCTCGCCAGGAGAGACATTGAGCAAATCTTCGAATTTCCAATGCAGCAGTCAGAACCCGAAGCCCTTAGCCGTTACAACAATGGGAGGGATGGAGAGATGGATGGAGGGATGGAGGGAGGGAGGTGGGTGGGTGGCTGGCTAGCTGGCTGGGTGAGTGGTTGGAGAGCGGAGGGAGGGGAGGGATGGATGGATCGATAGAAAGACGGATAGACAGACAGGTAGACGGATGTACAACTTACCCGTCTATCAACCAGTCCGCCAGTCTGTCTGTCCATGCTGTTTTATTCGCCTATAATCTATATCTATCTTTCTTTCTATGTTTCTTTCGATCTATGTTTCTAGCTATCTATCTATCTATCTATCTATCTGTCTATCCATCTATCTGTCTATCTATCTATCTATCTATTTATCTATGTATTTATCTACCCATCGTTTTGTCTAAGTATCAATAGATACACAAATATTCACGGAGGATATGTCCGTCAGGACCCATACCATGGCCGTGGTCAAGCTATGGGTCTGGCCTTCTCTGTACCACGCGGTATGATGATCCCGCCAAGCACTTCAGCTGCCGACAGAAGATGTCCCAAAGGGATCTCTTTTTAGGGGGGCAGTACAGGGGTTGAAGGTCGGCGTAACAATCTTGGTGATGAAGCCCCTACGACTAAGAGTGACAACTTATAGAACGAAGCAAGCTCTGTCTAGAACCGTATCAGATGCATCAAGCCCGCAATCCCTTAAAGGACTTTGTAGAGGCCGTTTCTAAACTTGTAGTCTTGAATACGCATGGTTCATACTGTTTAAGAATTCCCAACGTTATCGAACTTTAAAGAAGTGGACCCAACACACACCAGGACCTGAACAAATTCCTCCCAACCTGAGCGTGTACAAGCGCTCTGGAATCCATATGAAATGCTTTGAAATCATCATACCGTTTCATGACTCCTTTCCAGACCATATAAAGCCCTAAATCTTAACACCCTGGACCCGAAACCTTAATCCCTAAACCCTCAACCCCTAAACCCGAAACCCTCAAAGCCCTATTAAAAAAAAAACAATCCTCTAAACCCCCTTAAACGCGAAACTTTAAGCCTGCCAACCCTAAACCCTAAACCCACACTTGGTCGCCTGAGGCCTTCAAAACATGCTGAAGGAGGCTGGGGCCTGGCCGGCGCCCCATGGAAACCTCTTGAGCTGGACGGCTCAGGCCATTAAGGCATTAGGGTTTAGGGTTTCAGTGTTTAGGGGTTTAGGGTTTGGGGTTTAGGGTTTAGGGTTTGGGGTTTAGTAAGGGTTTAGGGCTTTGGGTTTAGGGTTTAGGGTGCTGGTTCGCAAGTGGTGGCTTCAAGGGAAGTAGAAGGATTATAAGGTAGTCCAGGGAACTACAAGGAGTACAAGGTGGGGTTTTCAAGCGGGTTGTCAAGATTGTTGATTTGTCGGGGGATAGGAAGACTTCGCAAAATTGTGCCTGATAGTCCCTATAAAAAGGACATGCCATAGGATGCCCCCCAAACCTGTCCGAATGATTAACGTAAACCCTAAACCCTAAACCTTATAGTCTTACACCCCAAATCAACGAAGGGCGTGTTCCTGCTGAACACTGTGCTGACCGTGGTGGAGGGCCAGGCGAACTCCCACAAGTCGCTTCGGTATGGTCTAAGGGGGCTTGGGGTTTAGGTTTAGGGGGGTTAGGGGTATGTATGTATGTATGTATGTATGTATGTATGTATGTATGTATGTGTCTGTGTATATATATATGTATATTTATATGTAGTACCTTGTAGTGCAGTCTTTTTGCCATATACAGCAAAGCAAAGCTTGTGAGAGCACATTCTAGCATGAAAACTGTGCTGTAAAACAGCGCGATGTTGCAGAACAGGAACAACGCGGTGCATGGTTCAGAATGTCGCTGGGTGTTCTGATGTCTCGGGCTATCTCCGGCCGTAGAGAGTTCTTACATGCTGTGAACCAAACAGGCAGATAAGGGGATTCTTAGCGAGTAACAAGAATCGTTATATCTATTTACCTACAGCTGTATGTTGGGGTTCCTAGATTTAATTTCTGAAACTCCGGCAAGCATGAACATGCGTTTCTGCTTGCGTGCACCGTAGAAGCAGTCATGCCAATTGTTTGGAAACGAACACCAAAACTGGTAAGCAAGCCGGGCAAGTGTTAGGAATCTCGGCTGGGAGCGCTTCACGGATGCGGCGATCCGGACCATCGATCGTGAGCTAAGTGGGGTTATCTTCCTGCTGCTTGCATTAGCTGTTAGTGTGTGTTCATGTTGTTGCTGCGTTTTGTTTTTGTTGCGTTTTGCTTTTGTTTTTTTTTCTCTCTCTCTCTCTCTGTGGCATATGTCTGTGTCGTTGTGTTTTTGAAGACTTAGCCATACCGTCCCTTCTTAGTCCTTATATCATTGTACTACACCAAAAACTTTATGGACAATATAAATGTACCCCCCCATATTCTGCTCGGTGAGGAGTGAGAGACATGGCTGCCATTCCAGTCATGTCTCGCGTGGTTTGGGCCTGATCCATCTTTATGTCTTTAACAGGAAAAGCTTTCTGACTGTCGTACTTCTAGAAGGCAGCATGCCCATGCTAGGCCCTACACCCTTCCTGCATGTGCAAGAGGAATGCCACGATCAACAAGAAGAAGCCCCATTAAGGTTTAGGGGTTTAGGGTTTAGGGGGGCATCTTCGTTCGGTGAGCGTAACATGGAGAGAAGCTACCAGCGGAAACTCGTTGGACCCTTGATTTTAGCCTGGCCTAACCCCAAACTCCCAACTCCGGCCACAAACCCTGCAGACGCGAATACTCTTGGTGGACTGCCTTGACTGCAACCGGCCTCGCCCCTAAGCCCTAAACCCCCAAACCCTTAACCCCAAACCCTAAACCTAAACCCCTTAGCCCCTAAACCCCTAAACCCGAAACCCCCAAACCCCTAAACCTTAATCCCCACACCCCTAAACCCCTAGACCCCTAAACCCCTAAACCCCTGAACCCCTGAACCCTAAACCCCAAACCCTAAACCGTAAACCCGAAAAAGCCCAGGCTTTGGGGCAAAGATGCCCAGAGCAAAGCAAAGCTCGTCGACTCCTCGCGGCACACCGTGCTCATTGCAGGCATTGAGAGTTGAAAGACATAGGGTTTAGGGGTTTAAGGGTTCAGAGTTTAGGGTTTGGGGTTTGGGGGTTTAGGGTATCGGGTTTTCGGAAGGATTTAGGGCTTGTGCAGGGTTCAGCGCAGGGTTTAAGATGATGTCACTCGTCATCGCCACGACTGCAACAGCAGTTTCCGGCACAAGCGTGATAAATAACGGTTGACATTCGCGGCCAGCCAAAAATTTCGGTCTCAGGGCTTTTCTACATGGTTGCATCGTGCTTCGTGATTTCGGGAGATTTGAAGGTGGATCGAAGTCCTGGGTCCCCTCCCGGACAGATACCTGAACTTCCGTTGTGCACACCACTTTGCAGACAGCAACCACTGCCCAGCCATACCCATACCCACACCCGCAGCTGCACCCGCAACCACGCATATGCCTCTTTTTTCCGAACTCACAAGATGTGTTTATATATGTATATATATATATATATTTTTCAACTAACATATGGTATAGTGCAATGAAATATAAGATAATGTGATGCAGTGCAACATGCTTTAATTTGCATATACACATACATCTACATATACATACGTGACATACGCGTAATAAACATAGTATGAATATGTTATAAGACAATATGCTGGAGCAAAATAGAGAGCCCCATGCCATAATACAATATAAGATAACACAACATAGTTTACAAACATAGTTTACCATACTATAATAAAATGTAGCAAACCAGAACAGAATATATATATATATATGTATATATATTTATTGCAGTATAACATAATGCTATATGATACAGAATAGTTCAAGGTAAGGTAAGGTAAGGTAAGAAAACATGCATTAATTTGGTCTATGTAGTGTAATATGGTATAATAAACTAGAAGAGAAAACAGAACTCCATATAGTATGATATAAGATGAAATAGCATGGCAAACCATATAAGATACAGTCACCTAAAATATGATTGCAGCACGCACAGCAAACTACACAAACACAGACACACACACACACAGACACAAAGACAGAGACAGAGCGACACACACCGTCGCATAAGAATCATGTTTGCATGCGTCGCTACATGTTCCTCTACAGAAGTCCGACTTTACGCAATCCTTGGCGGCTACGGCAGGCGTCCTTTGCAAAGGAACATGTGGACTTGTGTCGGGTTTCGGACAGCAGACGGCAGTTCTTTCACTCGTGTGACGGTCGCCTGACATGTGCCACATGCCGACTTGCCTGCAGACAGAGATGAGCAGTACGCGCATATAAAGGTATGGCGAAGCTTCAGACATTTCCTACGAACCTTCGGAGCTTGAGAAACAACCTCACCCACTGCACTTGAACCACAGGCCCCTTCAAGCGTAATCATTCAAGGTCCAGAACCTGAACAACCCAGCTATCCTCATTAAACCCTGCATTTCCTCCGAGAGGCCATCCATCGCCACTGTCCTACGAGAAGCACTTCAAAGGATGTGACCATTTCCGGAAGGTGAATGCGCCCCTTGTCACCGTTCGCAGAGATGTGATTCAGTTGGTTGATAATTTGCTGGAAAGCATGATCATTGCGGGCACTCGCTGGAACACAAAGCACAATGGCAACAATTTCTATTTCTGTTCGTGTTGCCATGCTATGCTGAATTCTGAGGAACATGGCAGTCTGTGTTTTCATCTGAATGGGTGAAGCTGCTTCTCTTTCTATTTCTTGTCTAAGCACCCTCCTCCAAGGAAGCCCTGAATCAAACCTTTCTACCCTAAACCATAAAGGTCAAACCCGTTCATCCCTGCACCCTGGTTTCGGGAGCCGATTTCTGAGGCCTGACGTTGGGACAAGTCCTCACCATCTCTGTTTCTTTCGCCACAACATCCGACTTCTCATCCGAAACGCCTTGCTGGCTCTAGCAGCTAGTACGTGTAGGGCTTAGGGCTTCAATCCAAAACTCCGTGTAAGCCCATAGACCCAATCCTCCCTTATACAGTCTACAAGACCCGCGGGTCCCCAATATGCATGCACTAGCTGCTTTTGCTAACCGCTATGGTAGCAGGGATGTACAGAACCCTAAACTCCAAACCCTTAAACCCGAAACCTCTAAACCCTGAAACCCCTAGCCCTTAAACCCGAAACCCCTAAACCCTAAACTCCTAAACTCCTAAACCCTCCTAAACCCCTAAACCCTGCTAAACTCTCCTAAACCCTTAAACCCTAAAATGGGTCCCAATCCCCGGCCCTGAAAAACATGTTTCTCAGGATCTTGTGCGAGCGAGGTGAGCCCGAGATCGTTTGGCAGCTGAGTTAATGTAAGGGTTTGATTCATTACTCATAGTTAGCAATACTCCTCGGAGTCCCTTTTATGAGTTTACTATACCATCTACCACACAACTGTATTCTAATTATTCAGGCCCGTCTAAGCGGGCACATATTCCTGAACCTGCAGCTCTACCGGAGAAGTAGCTTCTGGGATGTAGGAAGACTCTTTCGGCTTAAGGGTTGCAGAATTCAGGTTGACATTATCGGTTCCATGCTATGTCGGTGATTTTGCTCCAGGGCTGCATAACATGATGCAATGTCCTCCACCCCGGCTCAAGTGGCTTCCAGATTCGAAAGCAGGCGCTGTATCTGTAAACAGTCTGTGCCTAGCGGTTCAGCGTGGCATCAGAAGTTACATCTGTCTGCCTCCATCTGCATGTGCCCGACCTGACTCTAGTCCCAGCCTGCATACGCATTTCTCTTGGGTCGCAGAAGGGGTTCTATGAGGAGGCACGCGTGCCTGGCTCTAGCTTGCGATGGCCTTCGGCCATGCAAGTGCAACTTTCTGGGGATTATGATATGGCAGCGGCCGGGCGGGGTGCTGGCCGCCGTCATCCGCGACGGGAGCAGACAGAACGCAGCTTCAAAAGATAAATGTCCCTGACTGGGCTATGTCTTGGGGCATTAAGGCTGGACTGTCGTGCGCTTGATCTCAGCTCTACACCCCTGACCCTTAAACCCATCATCGTCCGTCATAGTCCTTCTTTTGTGAAGCCCTACACCCCCCAGAGACTGAACTCCCTCAATCGCAAGGCCCAGATGTACCCAAACTGCTACACCCCTCAGTCCCAAATGCAGTGTGTGCCGCAGTTGAGCCTAGCCTATCCTGTTTCTCGACACGAAACCTCACGCATGGGTTGGTTTCAACATGTCACGGTGCAATGGATTGAAGCCCCTAACTGACAAAGACCTTACGAACCCAAACAGTGCAATGATCAAAGCCCTGTAGCGAACGAGCAATCCTTTCAGTATTATCTTGAATGTCATATTTCGTATCGTTATTAGTATTACTCGTGTTACTACTAGTATTCTTGTTAGTATGATTATGAGTATGACCATGATTTGTATTCTTGTCAGTACTCGAAAAATATGATTACTGTTGTCTTTTTTTATGACTCTTAGTACGATAGCTGTTGTTGTCGTTCGTATCATTATTCTGATCACTGTGGTTGTTATGGTTCATATTGATATACTAAACCCTAAACCCTAAACCCCAGAACCTATACACCCTAAACCCTAACTACCACTGTGTCCAAGAGGAGGGCTCCTGGCGCCAGCTACTGCAGGCCCAACGGCTCCCTGGCTGTGTCAGGGCGCCTTTATGCGGGTGTTGGGCTTTTGTTCGGGGTTTGGAGGTTTGGGTACATTCAGGGCCTGGTAAGGGTGTAACAGGTTAGGGTTTAGGGTCTATGGCTTTACAAGGGTCATAAGGGTTTGTAGGGTTCATACTGGGCTTTTATTACAGGTTCCGTAGGGCTGCGCCAAGGGCCCTAAACCCTAAGCGGTTGAGTGTCTATGGTTGAGGGCAGGGGCTTAACGTGGGCAGTGTGCAGGCTTCAGTGTTCCGGGCTTCTGCCTTGGCTTTCAGAGTGCAAGTGCTTCAGGTGCAGGGTCGAGACTTGGGTTTGTGGTTTAGGGTGCAGGCCGCAGAATCGCCGGCATACGTCGGCTGTAAGCCCCAGTTTTTAGTCCAGCTCCCATCTCAACAGAAGCCACAAGCCACACAATCTGAAGGCTGTGAGGCAAAGCAGCCCATGCTCAGAAATTCTACATGAAACACCCAGCCCAACAATCTTCCAAGAGCCAGCAAATTTGCACCTGCATGCCAAAAGCCCGAAGTCTCAACTGTGTTAAGTCCAGCAAACATGTTCCCTGCACCCGAACATCCGAATTCCCACAGCAAGTCCTGCAACACCACGACCCCAAACGCTAGAACCCTAAACTAAATCGTGGGTTAGGGTCCCTACAATCCCACTCGAAAGAAGCCCTAAACTTACATCAAAAGCCCAAGGATCCAGCCGCGCCTGGCCGATCCGGAGCGTTTCGGAGATGAGCCCGGCGAGGCAAGGGCGTTTATGGTTTGGTTGTTTGGGTGTTTTGGGTGCAGGGTTTTAGGGTTTAGGGTTCAGAGTTTAGGGATTTAGTATTTAAAGGGTTTAGCTGGTGGGGTGCAGTCTTCGAGTTGAGCGTGTTAGGTCTCAGTAGGGTGCGCTGGGGTTTGTTTAGCATTCTGTGATTTGAGGGTTGGCGACTCAGGAATCTTTGAGTGTGCAGGTTCAGTGGCTGCGATCTGTCGGATGATGACGATGAGGAGGAGGCAAAGGAGGAGGAGGAGGAGCACGTGGACGAGGATGAGGACAGGTACGAGGAAGCGGAGGAGAAGGTGATGATAGTGGTGGTGGTAGTGATACGTAGTGGCGATTAGAGCATGTGAATGACATGTCATGACATGGTGATGGCAGGATGTTGTTCTTCATTGCTGTTGATGATGTGGTCTTCACCATCATGGTTCCGGTGCTTACAGTCTTACAGTATGCATTCAACCCTTCGGTCGGGCAGGAATAAAGTCATCGCGTAGGACATAGCACTGCCTTTTCTCGAATATCGGCTTGGAAAATGCAAGGCTACGTGATATCATACCGACCATCAGTCTTCACGACCCGAAAACCTAAACCCCAAACCCTAAACCCTCGTAGATCCCTTATTGTGGTTCTTTTGCCGGGCCCTTGTGGAAGGCCGGCAGCCCTCAGTGTGTCCTAGCGGTATAGCATGTACGGAGCGTATGGCTTTGGGGTTTAGGGTTTCTGTTTGGGCCCAGGCTAGGGTTTTAGGGTTTGCGGCTTGCAAAGGGGTTTGGGGCTTCGGGTTGACGGGCTTTTTGGGTTCAGAGGCTTAGGATCCTAAACCCTAAACCATCCTAAACCCTCCTAAATCCTAAACCCCTAAATCCTCCTAAACCCTCCTAAACCCTAAACCCCTAAACCCCTAAATCCTCCTAAACCCTCCTAAACCCTCCTAAACCCTCCTAAACCCTAAACCCTCCTAAACCCCTAAACCCTAAACCCTCCTAAACCCCTAAACCCTCCTAAACCCCCTAAACCTCTAAACCCTCCTGAACCCCTAAACCGAAGTCTTCAGGAGATCCTAATCCTCGAGCGTCTCAAGGCAGCTCGCGGAGGTGCCGCGCAGTGTCTGCTGAAACTTCTGGGGCTCAGGGCCATGGTTTTTTTTTTGGGATTTTTAGGGTTTAGCGTTTAGGATTCAGGGCATGGGGGTGTTGGGATTTAGGTTTTAGGGTTAAGGGTTCAGGGTATGGGGGTTTGGGGACTTTGGGGTGGGGCTTCCGGATCTTTGCGATTGCGCTCTGGTCACAGAGTGTCCAGGTGACAGGATGGCAGCCATGATACCGAATCTGCCAGAGCCCTGCCATAGTGACCCCGATGTTTCAGACAAGGCATTCGCCCCGTCTTTAGTATTAGATAAGGGTGCAGGTTGCATTTTCTGGCGCAGACTGTGCTCAAAGGGCTGATATGGACGAGATTTTTTGCACGAGGGTTCCGCTTCGGTTTTCATTTAAGCGTTCTTTTCAGGGTTCTAGAGGCTTTGATAACGGATTTCATGTTTTTGGACACTGGTTCTGGTCACGCAGCACATAGCGACTTGCAGAAAACTTCGGGTACAAAGGCCATCAAGGGCCTGGAGTATGGGCTTGGGAACTGCCCTGACGTCCAGGGGCAGTGATGTCCCAGCCATCTCTCTCCGTGGCAGCACCACCCTGTGCCAAGAGTGTGGGAGACCCAAGCCGCAGCTGATGCGTGGGGTTTGCTGGCAGGATTCGGGAATTACTGTGTGTGCCTGGAAGTCGTCGTCGTCGTCGTCGTCGTCGTAGTAGTAGTAGTAGTAGGAGCAGCAGCAGCAGCAGCAGCAGCATCAGCAGCAGCAGTAGCAGCATCACGACGTACGACGTCTTGGTTTTTGGAAGCATGACAGAGTTTTCCGGTGTCGGGTACATGGCTGGCAAACAACGATCCGCGTCCATTGTTTATGATTACAAACGGCGATGTCACAAGACATGAGAATCCTTGTGTGCCTTCAGTCTTTGGGGATTAAGGTTTCGGGTTATAGGCTTAGTGGGAGTTTTAACCGTGAACTGCGGTACTTCGCCAGGGTTTTGGGGGTAGCGTTTGTGTTG